TTCGTGCATTTCACGCGAATGTTTAAATGCCTTCATCAGCAGTGTATTATGTTTATTTTATTTATTATTTGTTGCAGTATTTGTCTCGCTAAATGATATTGTGAAAGGATTATCAGAAGAACAACTGGCTCGATTTGAGAGATTGTCGGTTATAACTACTCGACCCAACATCATTCATCCGTTAATATATTCACACCCAGAAACCAATGAGAAGGTACAATACTTTGAATACGTGCAGATTTACCCAATTTATAAGCCCTTTTCGCTTGATTTCTTTTTCATAATGTTGTTTATAAATAAATTTTGCACACAAAAAAATGGCACTTTAATATAGTATATAAATAACATTCCAAATAAAAGGGCGGTGGTGGTCGCGCCACAAATGCGCGAGATATGGGTCTCGTATGAATAAAGATGATGACTTTGACTGTCACGAATACAAAATGAAACGTTACTAAACTTTAACTCGATAATTAGAAGGTGATTAGAAGGTTACAAAGGAGTCGCCGACAGTAATCTGTTCATGTCGCTCCCGGGTCGAAACTCGTACTCGTGATTTCCATTAGAAGAGCGCATTGAATTTTGGGAAAAGCAATGTTTATCAAAGCAAAATGCCGCACATGCGCGGCGCGACGACCACCGCCCTTCAATCAAAGTGCCAGTAGTGAGTAGTCTCATCTGTGTACGGTATAGGTTATTTTACACACACCTACTCCGGCGCTGTAGAACAGGGGAAACTCGTTCGTTAATCATGTATCGCAGGTAATCACACGAAGTCAGTTCACATCACTTCGTATTTTATTGTTAAGAAAATTTCCACCATATTATGCTTTTACAACAACCTCTTTCAACTCTCCCTATAGGTCTTGTGCATACATATGGGTTTCTCTCAAGGATTTGTCTGGGATAAAGGTACGGCGCAAGAACGGAATGCTAGTAAGAGTGAAAATAATGACATAAAGAATGAATTGAACAGACAGTATATGCGAGACAATAAAAAAATCCAATATTCCCACAAGGTAATTTAATTATCGTATCACTTATCAGATTGCATCTTCGCCAGTCAATGAGCCATCACCGCATAACTATATATCTTTGCAGATTCTGCGCATCCAGTGTGTTTTAAAGTACGCCATTTTGTTTTATTTCCATGGCCACAAAGGACGCAAGCTATGATTGGACGCGTGTCATACAGGTCTGATACACTACAATACGCCTGGCTAAAGTTTATGACACCGTGCCAGTGCGAATCGAACGATTATCCGATGAGTAATCGTTTCTACCATATAAAGGTTCAACTTGACGCGTGTGCATACTATCTATATTCAATAAGACAAAATTGTCCATATTTTTAATTTAGTGCATTTAGATAATTATGGCGTTTTAGTAAAATGACGAAATACATTTACGCAATATTTGTGAAATAGAAGTAAGGAAAGGGTCGTATTGGCATCAAAACATCGCGTGGGATTCGACAAAAGTGAATGTAATTTGGGGTATTTTCACGCATAATATTGTGCTATACACATTTTATGATGAACAGTTTTGATTGAGTGAGTGTATCTCAACGTCATTTTCCGTTCTTTTGGCATTTCAACATTGAATTATATACAAACAAATCTAAAATCAAATCATTCGATTGTTAAAGCAGATGTCAGCTCGCACCTCTCACGCTTTTTGCGGGATCTTGCTGTGGACGGAAAATCACCTATTCGCCATACACTTAGAATAACTGATCCTGATCCTAAATTGTGCTTGCGAAATTGCCTTGGTCATTATTATTTAAAGCGGGAGGGTCTTCACCTGCGCACGCGCGGGAATTGAGTCCCAAGCGATGATAACAACACAAACAAAGAACGCAAAGGCTCATGGGTAGACGCTTGTTTGTAAACAATGACACGCTTTGGCCACCTGACGTATGCGTAGGTGACGACCCCCCCCCCCCGATTTAACCAAATATTACTAAAGCATCCATATAGACACTGCAGTCCCGAGCTCATCACAAGCAATTTGTTGCCGCCATTTTTGTGTAGTTCCGTGTTGCGTAGTCTATAATATAACACATTTATAGTTAATTAACTATATACAATTTCACAAAGGTCAAAATCACGCATAACTCCATAAATGTCTCTCAATCTGATTGGTTATGGAATGCTTCTATGAATTATTACTCACTCATGTACCATGTGACATGATAGTCCATGGGTCACATGACAACTCATTTTGTTACCAACTGTGGGTACTGATGATGTGTAGTGCCATTGAAAAGGTCTTTGTGTGTATATGTCAGAAATGTATAATTAGAATGTTCCTCATTATATCATTAAACTGAAAGTTATAATAACTACAATACAGGAAAATATAGAGAAATTAGTTGTCACAATGCATCCATAGTTTGCCCAATTTGGTCATGTCTGTGCTTGTCACTTGCCTCAATCCATAAATTCATCTTTCGATTCATGGAGATTGACCTCGTGTGCAAATCATAATTTTAAGTTCATTTTGAATTAAAATTGGGAAATTGTTTTTAAGGAAAGACAAAAAACAAACGTTGTTTGCATATATGCTAAAATACAGCTGGCTACATACTTATTCAGAGGATGATATTCATTTTATATTTTATTGAAAATGGTTAGGGTCTCTAGCAGAATAGTTGTGCTCATAAATTGAAATATACATGGTTTTAACCAATAAGATTTTAATTTATATAAACTTCGACCCCCTGATGCCTCTTGTCGTACAATCCAAGCACTTATTCACAGTCGCTGCAGTCACCATCTCATTATTGCTGTATTTATTTTTTTTTTCAGTGGGAAGTTGGTGACTTCATTATTACTGATAATCTTGCTGTTGGCCATGAAGCAGCGCTTTCTAGTCAATTTCCGCGTTCCAAGGTTGGTCTGCGTGTTCTACATAGAGTAACAGTCGCTGGCAAAACGGTTCCTACAAAAAAGTATGATCTTCCACAAATGCAAAAGAAAGATGAACTTTAGTCTCAGTTACACGATAAATGATAGGGGTTCCAAAGTATTCACACTCTCGCGTGGTTTCAGGTTACCACATGTTATAAGTATATGACCAAACTTCAATACATTCTTGGATGACTCACAAATGGACCAGTTCATACACAGATGCAAGGATCAAGTTCAATTGAATTATATAAATATTTATTATATAGAAAGGTACTTAACGTACACGTGAAATCAATCAAACATTAACAATCAAAATGATAGTTACACCGGCTGATGTTGTGGTGTAATAATTATCGTTCAAAATAAATTATCAATCCGAGAAATAAAATTCTGAGAATGAACCATCCAAGGTATTTGCATATCAAATTTGAAAACATTATGACTTGCGGTTTCGAAGAAGAAGTTGAAATTGTAAAGTTGATGATGACGACGGACGACGACGATGACGACGACGACGGACATTCAGTAATATAAACTGCGACGCTGTGTCGACTTGTGACTCTCTCTTTGAGAGGAAAATATTTGCCCCCTTCAGCCTTGATAAAAAGAAGTCACCGCCCTTGTGGCTTTGGAAAATATGCTGAACCTCCTCTGTGTCACTCATACATTGATCGATTGCAATTGCTTAAATAAACCAACGCAACATACCAGTATGTGTTGATATAATGCAAATTTAATTTCTACCATGAGCAACAGTGCTTCTATGCTTGATGAGAAAAAAAGGAAAGTGTTTGAATATAATGTTAATAATTCTGAACATATTAATGTTGGTGAGATAAATAAACATACTGCAATGACAAACTGATATGTTGCGTTGGTTTATTTAAGCAATTGCAATCGATCAATTTATAAGTAATACATTTTAATCCGCGGGGATATTATGTCAATTTAAATTTTAGGTTTATGAATTATTTGATGGTTAAGTGTATTTTGTCTCATTGCTGTAACAGCTGTGTAGTGTCATAATGGCATGCGAGCAATGCAGATTAAAACACCTACCTGAAACCTGTTATATCGTTGTTACTAACTGATATCAGACTACCACACAAGGTTGGGGAGGGAGGAATATTCAAACGGAAGAACACCGTGCAGGTGGACGATGGGTCTTATTAGTATCTGTTGCAGACAGATTATTATACAAATTTTTCAAACAACTCAGCTTAGTACCAGGATTTGAATAGCTGAGTGTGTGATCCTGTGTTATGCGTAAAATAGAACAAAAAAATAGAAAAAACAGAGGTCATAGCATTGTATGATGGCAAAACATTGCGTGGGATTCGACAAATGAGAAAGTAACTTAATAGTATTTCCAAGCATAATAATGTGCCATACTCATTTAATGATGGTCAATTGGGATGAATATTCCACTCACAAAGATATACATTTCAACGTAAAACTCTATAAAAAGAAATTCAAGTTCAAAATCAAACCATTTGATTTTTGTACCTGACGTTCAATTCATGCTTGTTCACGTAATGCGTAGTAAATGGAAAATCACCTTTTGCCTGGCATCTGGCAACAAACATAAAATCATTGTACATGTATGACCATCTACATGTACTTACATGTGAGTGGAAAAAACGAGGACAGACAGGAGAAACTCGTTGTAACTGTAAAACTGTAGCAGTCCATTTTCCTAAGTTGTCATAGCAATCATAGAATTTATTTGGTATTTGTATATGTAACATTTGAATTTAAACTGAGACTAGAATGACTGGTTTTATTTTTTATACATTTATTTGGATTCATTTCCCACCATGGTAGTTTCAATTAATATTATGCTGTACTGTACTGGTATGGGCATTATATGGATTGTCGTCCACACGCATCAATTTACCGGAGAGGCACGTGGAGATCGACCGATGGTTTGGAGAACTGAAGTCGTCAATGTTTTATAAACATCCCAAATCGCCGTCACCGGAAATATCCCGAATATCAAATGTGAAGTCGGAGAGATAGATCAATAGAGGCCGATTTAGTTGGCACATTGATGGATCCCACTTTATAAAACCAGTCAGTTACACTTTGTATCAAATTGCGCACGTGCCGACTGAAGGTGACACACGTGATCATGAGTGCAATGGTCGATCTCGGTGTCAACCAAATGTTGTCAGTTATGGTATTTTCTGAATCAAAATAATTTGTGTCGAATCAAAATGTGTGTCAATGCATGAATATTATTCCCCATCATCTATTTGAAAGGAATTGCATGCTTGTGTTTCTAAACATTTTTAAAAACAATACTAGGATAAACAATCTATTTGGGGCAAAACACAGCTGATTTTACCAAAGCAGATATTTAAAGGTACTCAGCTGATTATTTTAGCGCTTGTAACAGCTTCATTGTTGGGCCTTTCTAATGCTCTATGGTACTGTATACTGTTGTGGATGTTATACATTTTCTGATTAGTCTAATTTATAAATAATCTTCGTGAAAAAATACTGCCTTTTCCAAAATTCTAAAATCTGTGTCAGCTAACGACGTCACTAAAACGCGTGTGAAATGTACTCTAACTTTTGGGTAGACTAGAAATGTGACTGTGTTAAGGCTAGCTCTTACATGACTCAAGTTAGCTCGTATCTTACACAGTATTTTTTTTTGGAAATGGTTAAACATTTAACATGATAAATAAGCAAAATAAGCAAAAATTTCGTGCAGAACGCCTGGATCGATGGAAAAGATTGTGGGTTTACAGTAATCCGCCGCCACAAGTTATTCACCCGTTGGTATATTCACATCCAGACACTGGAAAGAAGGTAATATCAAAGATAATTTGCAATAAAATTCCCATAAGCTGCCTTGTCAACATAACTATGGAAACATAATGTCAGACTTTCGCTCATATTTTTGATACCAGTCAAGACATCGAATGTTTCTACATGAAAAAATCATTTTAGGTATACATGACAGTTAAAAACCAAATCATGATGAGCAAAATACATGTGAACAAAAAAAGTTGTTGATATATACTTTAAGTCAGCCCTTGAATTTCAATCGATGTATCGCCATAGCATATGTCGTGATACAATGTTCGCCATATTCCAAATGTTCAATCAATAAATCATATTTATTACATTTATTAGAAAAACAAGTTAAATGATTCGTGATACGGCGATACCGTAAAAAATATCTGACGGCAATTTTCGCTATTTTCGTCGTTTCTGACTGACACAGTTTTCAACATTTTATGTGAATTGACTTTGGTAACATTGCAAGCTGGAAGACTGCCTTTTTCTGCATCTGTTGTAATCAGAAAACCAAATAAAAATAATATAGATACCAAGACGTAGATTTCTGGTACAATGTCAAAAAAAGACGGAAACCTTCAGATTTCCTTGACCCATGCAATTAGCTGCCAGGCAATACAATTTGACAAACATTGATGTGACATACGCGTATTCATCTTTCTAAGCTGTGAAAATACGCACTTATATTACGAATTATATTATCTGGTGAGACAGACAACAAACAGAGTATACGTGTGCACACATAAAGCCACTGTACTATATTCAGACCGACCTACGATTGTCCTCGGGTATAATTCAAATCTACTAACAGTGGCAACCATCTAAGTGAAAGTGAAACAGATCATCGGTTTCTATTGACCCTTACTGCATGGTTTAATTTTATAATGCCCACAATGTCCGACGTGATCGCCAAATGACATTTCATAAACACCATTTATTTTTCCCTTGTGATAAAATACACATATCTAATAAAATTATATCCAGCATTTTATTTGATAACATATGGTGAACTAATTATACGTAGTAATACGATTTATTATTATATTTAGTTTTATTATATATACATCTGTCACTGTAACGCCATAAGTTACATTGTGTCGTAATTTTGTGGTATTTTATGGGATCCTACCATATTATGAAATGCGAATTCCAACATGGAATGATTACGCGCGTAGGTGTCTTCTAATAATAAAAACAAACATGGCTGCCACCGGACTCCACACAAAGGCGTTCGCTGATTCTGTTCTAAACTTTTAGGATTTCGGCATTCCCATGATGTATCCTTTGGAAAGAAAAGATGTATAATAATAATAATAATAATAATAATAATAATAATAATAATAAGGTTATTACGAAGACCATATGTAAGTAGTTAGTAGATTTAGTAAAGAGTTAAACAAACTGAACATGTGTCGCAAATTTGTCACGTCACAAAAGTGGCTAGCGAATTTCTAATATTTTTTAGAATCTAACATTTTGTTTTTTCTGAACATCGAATCAGCTGTTTCTAAACTATCATAGCTTGTAGCATAACACTTGCAATAGTCAATTTTTAATATAAGGGAGAACATAATAAGATTCAAACAGGTTTTTTCGGCGGACATATTTAGCTTATCGTTCCATATGATGATACTGTCACATTACATAGTCCCAGAAGATGATAATGACTCTTGTCTGATGCGGACAACAAGTTCCTATCTGAAACCATTTGATTCAGAATGATGTATGTCGGGCTCCACGTGTGAATCAGAATGTGTTAATGTTTTTTTTCACAGCACCTGACATCACTTCATTTATACCATCGAGTCTAGATCTGTTCATATTTCTCTTACTGATTTTCCTATTAATATGTATATGTCATTTGTTTTGAGGGATTATTTAGTTGCTTATTTGTGTTGTGTTCTTGCAGTGGAGGCGGTCGCCATCGGCTCTGTCTTGAACTAGTAAATTTCCCAAATGACTATGAGTGTAAGTGTCGTTTGATATTGCTTTTGCTTTTTATCATCAGACAGGTTATAATCCAACAATAACTCCAACCATTAGCTTATTTCATGTACAACAATTAATTATAGTTTTAAGACTATTACTAATGTCAAAAGAATCCTAATTGCTTAGCGTTTGAATACACAATTTTACAACACAATTTCTGGGAAACTATTTCTGAAGCTTTCGTTTTTATTTGTCAGTAGTCTTGCATATTTTACGTTTCAAATTCATTCATTCATTCATTTCTGATTTTTATTCCTCGAGTATAGAAAAATATAACATTGACT